CCCTCCTCCTCCCCCTCCTCCTCCCCCTCCTCCTCCCCCTCTGTGAAGATGCAACTTCTGAGATAGGCGTTTTTCCCAACCATCCTGTGGTGTTGGGTCCTCGTTTTGAAGAGACGGCGCCCCGCGTTCCTCACCTCCTCCTCCTCCCCTCCCCTCCCTCCTCCATCATCATCATCATCATCATCATCATCATCATCATCATCATCATCATCATCATCATCATCATCATCATCATCATCATCATCATCATCATCATCATCATCATCCACCGATTTCGGCACACCCCTCACACGTTTCGTGGCCCCATAGGGAGCTCCACCGAAGGCCCCAGTGGCTGGTTCGCATGCCTCCCCACCACCCATTTCGGCACACCCCTCACACGTTTCGTGGCCCCATAGGGAGCTCCACCGAAGGCCCCAGTGGCAGGGTTCGCATGCCTCCCCACCACCCATTTCGGCACACCCCTCACACGTTTCGTGGCCCCATAGGGAGCTCCACCGAAGGCCCCAGTGGCAGGGTTCGCATGCCTCCCCACCACCCATTTCGGCACACCCCTCACACGTTTCGTGGCCCCATAGGGAGCTCCACCGAAGGCCCCAGTGGCAGGGTTCGCATGCCTCCCCACCACCCATTTCGGCACACCCCTCACACGTTTCGTGGCCCCATAGGGAGCTCCACCGAAGGCCCCAGTGGCAGGGTTCGCATGCCTCCCCCCCCACTCACACACGTTTCGTGGCCCCATAGGGAGCTCCACCGAAGGCCCCAGTGGCAGGGTTCGCATGCCTCCCCACCACCCATTTCGGCACACCCCTCACACGTTTCGTGGCCCCATAGGGAGCTCCACCGAAGGCCCCAGTGGCAGGGTTCGCATGCCTCCCCACCACCCATTTCGGCACACCCCTCACACGTTTCGTGGCCCCATAGGGAGCTCCACCGAAGGCCCCAGTGGCCGCATGCCTCCCCACCACCATTTCGGCACACCCCTCACACGTTTCGTGGCCCCATAGGGAGCTCCACCGAAGGCCCCAGTGGCACGCATGCCTCCCCACCACCCATTTCGGCACACCCCTCACACGCTTCGTGGCCCCATAGGGAGCTCCACCGTTTCATGGGCACACCCACACGACTCCACCGAAGGCCGCATGGCGGCTGCGTTCACATGCCGTTTCGTGCAACTTTTGCAGGCACACCCCTCACACGTTTCGTGGCCCCACAGGGAGCTCCACCGAAGGCCCCAGTGGCTGCGTTCGCATGCCGCCCCCACACCAACTTCGGTGCACCCCTCACACGTTTCGTGGCCCCATAAGGAGCTCCACCGAAGGCACCAGTGGCAACGTTCGCATGCCGCCCCCAAACCCATTTCGGCACACCCCTCAAACAGACCGTGGCCCCATAGGGAGATCCACCGAAGACGGTACTCACACCAGCATTACTCACAACTGCACATGTTTGGGCCCTTCGCCAGGCTATTTTTTCCGTATGTCGCCTGAGACTCAAGGGCCCTGGGAGCCGCAATGTTGACGGATAAGAAACAAGTGAGACGAGGGGCAAACGCTGGGCGATCCAGCACTCTCGCTTTCACACTGGTTCTAAAAAAAGTGTTGCCCCTTGTCGATCAAGAGGCACCAACACGGAGGGCACGGCAGCGTGTTAAAAATCAAAACTCCCAGATCCCGCAGCGGGCGAAATCCGCCGTCGCCAAAAAAAAAAACAGCGCAAACAGCTTACAAAGGAAAATTAAGCAGGCAGCCGATGGGCTTCGTACTATGGAAAAGGGATACTAGGCTCGCGTTATCAACATCTGTCTACTGCAAGAATACATCGAACCATGTACTCCCAGTCGGTCACATACGCACTCAGCATCGCATTCGAGTCGTGGTCGCTCTTAGGCGGAGTGTCTTGTGGAAACATGATAACTCCATCCATCGCCTTCCTGATTTGCGATCCATCCATTCGTTTAGTCAGCGCATCGGCTAGCATATATATATATATATATAAATATATTCAGTAGAACACCAAGCCAAAGGCAACTTGGATTTAGTAGCTGCGGCAACTTCTTCCACAATCTCGTCCTCCATGAGTTCTCGTAGTCCGATCAAATCCAAAACCAATATACGCTCAGCTGGAATTTTAACAGCTCCTTCTCGGTGAATTGTATCATATAAAGAAGCACAGTCCGTTACACACTGAATCGGGCATAAAGTAGGATCGATGCTGTCGGTATTCATCTTCGGAAATAGAATATTAAGAACTGAAGCGCGCATAACAATAGCTGCTCCCATGGCATCCACTGCAGTCATAGTCTCTGCTGCAAATGTACTTCGGCATACCCTTCAAAGTGTAGCTGACCCCGAGTCAACCAAAACTGCCGTGCCTTCTCCGTCCTGGATGATCTTCTTTTCGGCCACAAATAATAGAAATCCCGCCTGGCTCTTAGCCTTGAGCCTCTTCGGAGCCTCCGAAGCGTAGGCGGCGCGCATGCGGCGTCGACGCCACCAGGCGGCACCGGCTACCTTGTCGTCTGGCTCGTCCACGTTGGCCCACGCAGCGTCGTGGGACACTAGAATGCAGAGCTCGCCCTGCAACTTCGGGATCGCGATGGCGGTCTCATTGTAACGCTTGGCCTCGGATACGATGCGTTTCGTCTCGATCAGGTCGGCCACCGTCGGTGAGTTCTGTACTCTCTGAGCCATCGAAACTCCCGCAGCTAGGTCTGGTCGGGTTTGCGTAGCGAGCCAGCCCAAACTGCCAATCAAGCTCTAGTTCTCGGCGATCTCGATCTCAGTGGCAGGGCATCCTAGATCTCGTTTGCGCTCCTTGGTCAACTCGAGCTGTTCTAGCTTCTCGGCGAATACCGACTGGCCCAATCGAGTTGATCCGTCTGAACGCCGGACAACATCCTTAGCGCAACCTCCGAACGGAAACAGCTTCTTGTTTATATCATAGCTGGCTTGAGCACTGGAAGCAATCATTAAATCATCCACGTGGACACAGACAATAGCTTGCAGAGTTCCAACTGAACCATGTCCCACAAATAAAGCTGGATCCACCAAGCTTTGAACTAAGTGGAACTTGTGGCCGTCCTTGCTCACTAGCTCAACCTTAAGCAGTGCGTTCTTGAGAGAAGCCCACCACTGTCGTGGCGCAGTCGCCAGTCCAAAAATGCCCTTGACGATACGTAATACTTGTCCTGGTTGAAGTCCTGGTAGACTTTGAGGCGGCTGCTCCATGAAAAAGGGTTTGTCTCTGGGCTGCTCTTCCCCCTGCATGAACACGGAACACGAAGCGAGACGGCAGGAAGCGGTTGCTGTCATTCTCGGCCCGGGCTTGTTGAGATTCCTCCAGTGAAAGCGCCTCCACGGAACCAGACTTCTTCCATTCCTCCCAGTGCTCGGCGATGGCCATTCGGTAGAGTGGCCTATGTTCCTCGGGGATGTCCTTCCAAGCAATCTCCTTGTCTTGTAGCTTCTTTCTGAGCCTTTCGCTCTGAGCTCGAGCTCCACGAAGCATTACTGCGAAGCTGGAATTGGTGGTAGTACCCTGGTCGCTGTCATCGGCGATGCTGACGACGCAAGGCTGCCCCGCTTGTCGAGCGGCTTGTCGTCCAGCGATGCGGTGGGAAGCTTCTTCTTGTTGTGGACTCCCTCGAATGCAACGCGGTACGTCATCGAGGGGACTGTAGACTGCCCGGCGTCGCTGAAACTCCTCGCGGTTCCAGTCCTCGTAGTTGGGCACAGGGTTGTCCTGCACGTGTCCGGGTGTCTGTGTTGAAATCGGGGTAGGCGATAATGAGGGTGCGTCAGCTTGACCAGATGGGAGCTCCTCTGCAGGCGAGAGCTCAACATCATCACGAACTCCTGATGCGTCCTCGGCGGGGGCTCCTGCAGCATCCGCCTCCATCTCCCCAACTTGTTATTATCATGCTGCTGGCGGTGGTTGTTCTCCTCGAAGATCTTCGTACTCCATGTCGGCGCTGGCGTCTGTGTCACGGCTTAGTCACCGAAGCTGGCCGAGGGCCTCTCCATGCTGATCGTCTATTCCCGGCCACCAGACTTCTTCAGTAGTAACTGGCCGAATGCGATCTGGAGCTACGAGCATGGTGAAACCACCGTGCGATATCCAGTAGTTCTGGCCTTGTTTCCCCACGATCACGGCTGGCCCCAACCAGGTGCCCGTCTTGATCGAGCCCTTCTTGAGCCGGCGGTAGTAGAAACAAAGGTCACCTTGCTCAAGCGGACGGGGGTGCACGCGGGCACGGCCCAGTAGTGCTTTGCGTAACGTGTTATCGTTCTGCATTTCCATGAAAGCCTTGCGGGCGGCGGTCCGCATCTTCAGCTGTCGCCCCATCGGTTGTAGGTCGGCGCCTGCATGCGCTGCGTCATGGTGAGCTCCGTCCACTAGATCCGCTGGTAGTCGCGCGCTCTTGCCAAAAACCAACTGTTCTGGACTGAAACCACAGTGACGTCGCAGTGCATTCTTGGCCCCCGTGACCACGGAAGCGACGATGCGCATGTCGGACTCACCTGAGGCCGCGGTGCGCGAAATGGTTCTCTCGGCCAACTCCTTCCACCAGCCTCCCTGGCGTTCAGTCCGCCCGCGTTGCCGTGCTGCCTGACCGGCCACTGGAACGACCACGCAATGGAACCTGTCCAGCATATCCCAAAAGACCGAACCAAATCCACGCTCCAAATCCACGACTGCACTTGCTGGTGGCCCTGCCCAGCTTGCCCATATCTGAGCGAATACCTTTACCAGGACTTCCGAATGATGACTTTCAATCATGCCCACAACGTAAAACGTCGCACCTAAATCCACCACCGATAAGAAATCCCATGACTGACCATTCACATCCTTGATCGTAGAACAATCCAAACCAATCTGTTCATTGAAGTCGGCTGCGTGGGAAAGTCTAGCTGGTCTCGCAATGTTCTTCCGCGCCTTGCTCATGCACGTCGCGCATCGTAGTGGCTACGCGGCCTTCACTACCTCTGGTCTGCATCCTGAACATCTCAACGACATGGCAAGATCCTCGTTGCTGGGGTGGCGCACGCTCTTGCGAAGGTACCGTAGAGCTGCGAGGTCCTTGCTTGAGCACTCTGAACTTCCAGGTCCTAACTGGATAGCCTTGGCTCCGATGTCCTCTGCAACAGGTTCTGGCTTGTACCATAGCTGAATCTTCAGCTTGGCAGTGCGATCCAACTTCGGCTTGATCAAATCCGTGGTGATATCGGCCTTCTCGAAGTCCTGCACCACCGTGTCGGCCCCGAGGTCTACGACTCTTCTTCTGCCTACGCGGCCCCAGTCAGGTCCATCTGGTAACTTAACCAGCATCTCGGTAAAGTCGCCCACGTTCTCGCAATAGAACCACTCGTCCGATTCGCCACCCATAAAATCAATCAAGACGCCGGTCGCGTAGACTCCGTTCTCCATCATGTAGGTCACGTTGCTGTGCTGGTATGCTTGCAAGACTGCCTTCGCGAACTCTCTGGTGCATCGCCCTGCCTTGCGTGTGTAGTGAGCTCCTTCCAGTTGGCGATGCGGGTGACGTCCGTCACATTGCCTGCTCAGCCGCTTGACGTAGGAGTCACTAGAGACCAAGAGCTTCGTCGGCTTCTTGACCATTCCGTTAGACTGCTGGTGTCGTAGCTTGAACTGGCACGCGTCGACCTTCACCTGTTCCACCCGGAGATGCCCCTCTAAACGCTTGATCTGTGCAGGGGTACTCCAACGTGAGGAGCTTCGGCCTGCATGTGCGGTAGAGCTGTAGAATCTCTCGCCGATCTTGGGCGATCCGCAGGTTGTAGTTGTAGATATGAGCAATGGGCTCGCACACCTCGAGTCCAGCTCGTCTGAACTCCTCTGAGATGACGACCTCACCCGCGAAGATCTGCATCAAGTCGTAGCTCGGATCGGTCTTGACGTTGAACACGTCGCAGAGATCTCGCACGATAGCCCCGCCCCCCGAGAAGAGCGGCTTGACCAGAAAGGTGCCGAGGAACGTGGTCTGCCACGCCAGGAAGCTGACAGTCTTCCTGATCATGTCCGCGTAGCGCTTGATCTGTCCCGGCTTCATCTTGCGCGTTGCTTCTTGCTGTGTCCTGCTCTTCCCCTTCGGAACTATCATCTCCCAAGTCTGGCCCTCCTCTACGCCGATGTCTTCTGCTGCAATAGCCATGTTGCTGATCGATGAGCTACTTCGCCTGGTTGGCGGTTCGTCGCTCTCTGAGTCTTCCGAGGGCTGTGGTTCCACTGGTCTTACTCGTTGCTCCCTTCCTGAGCTCCGACAGGCCAAGGAGGCGCTCCTGGTCGCGGAAGCAACCTTCGAAGTCGTAAGCAGCGGTACCTCGTCCTTAGTCTCTTCCTTCTTGACTGCTTTCGGTGTCTGCCCCAGCAACAAACACACGATTTTGTCCTTGAGCATGTCGTCGGTAACTTTCACGTTGCGTTTTCTGGCCAGCTGGACCAACTCTGCTCGTGACTTCTTGGCGAGTCCTCGGAGTTCTGGATCTGCAGCTCGAGCTCCTCTGCGGCTCTGGCCGTTCTCGATCCGTCGCTCGCTGAGGATCACGCGCATCCCTCTGCAGCCCAGGCCTTGGAACTCCAGCCCGTTGCTCCCCATCTCTTCCTGCAACTCCACCTTGACCATAGTCCCCAATGGTAGTCGTCGTCTGGGCGCTGGTGCCTCGGCCTGCCTCTCGAGGATCTCCCCCCGGCCGTGGCGGCGTCCGTTGTGGAAGATGATGGCCACCGCCGGGTGCCTGGTCATCGCGACGGCTAAGAACGCCAGCTTGAAAATCTGTTTCCAGCGCATCGGCGCTACGGTGTTGTACTTCTTGTTGGCGCTGACATCGCGGATGCCCCAGCCCTGGATCCACCCCGGCACGCTGAGAGGCATCCGCACATGAATGGGAGCACTGATCGTGAGAATCACCTGAAACGGTTTGAACCATATTTGGCTGAGGCCGAACTGCTTCATCATCGTCCGTTATGTGGAATCGCACACGTTTTGCTGGCGTTGGTGCTTGCTGCATTTGCATAGGTTTCTGCACTTCGGCACGCTTATCCGTTCCCCGAAACTGGTCCGTGCAGGGTTCTCGTTGGGGTGCTCCTGAAGCTTTCTGAAGTTTAGTTCGCAGTGATTCGGGTCGCTCTCGCAGTCGTTGAAGTTTAGCTCGTACTGGTTCGGATCCCTCATGATGTTGAAGCTTGGCTCCTCGTGATTCGGGTCGCTCTTGACGCGGTTGACGCGGGGCCCCTTGGGGCCCCGTTGGAGGCCCACTGGGAATATCTCGTACCTGTTCTTGGGAGGCCTCCATAGCGCGATTATCCTGCGAACGGTGATGATGGGGGCTCCTCTCGAGTTCTTTCCACCAGCGCTGCGATGACGGAAGCAGCCTGATCTCTGTCTGGCCGGGGCCCACGTCTGGAGCCATGGTAAAAATGTGAGCCCTGTCGAACTCCAGCACATCGAAACTCGGATGTCCGCTCTTGGCCTGCCCGAGCTCGAGGTTGGAGACTCCCAGCTTGCTGAACGTCACGGCGCCCCCGCCAGCCCCCACCTCACGGTCGCGCACTGCTCCCAGATGACCAAGAGCCTTCTGCGACAGCACCGAAGGGACCAGGCACGGCGCGACGGATAGTCTCAGCGCGAAGGGACGTCCGCGCACTGCGAGCGGCACCAGCGCTCCAATCGCGCTCGCGACTGGCTTCCCAGCGCCAAACCTGAAAACTTCATGTTCGACAAACTCGATCGGCTTGAGGCCCACCTTCGCGAGCCGCTTCTTGATGTCGCCATGCCAAACCTGCCCTCCAACGGACTTGGCGCAGCACGAGTCTGGTAGCAGCTTGCCGCCGCACTGCTGCAGCAGCTCCCCTTTCGTAACCATGATAACGTTCACGCTGCCTGTGCCAGTCATCAGCACGTGGTTGTTGATGAAGAACGTTCGCTTCTCGATATGCTTTTCCTTGCTGCTCCAGCTCGTGAGATACTGCTCTGGTCCCTGGTCGTCTTCACCATGGTCGCCGGCAGTCGTCATGTGCGCCTTACTTGGCGCCCCTGTACACTCGGGGTCGCCCTTCCAGTGTCCCGGCTTCTGGCACGCTGCGCAGTGAGTCCTCGCATTTAGCTTCTTGCTGCGGTCCGAGCCCTCGCCGCCGGGCCCCTTGCCGCCTCCAGGACTGCCTTTTTCCGCCATGTCCTTTACCAGGTCCGCGCCCAGGTAGCCGATCTCTATGATAAAGCCCTCTAGCTTGCTTGGCGTCTTTTTGCATGACCTTCGCTCGGGCGAGCATCTTCTCCAACTTGTAAACTTCGGCCACCGCTTCCTCGTGCTCCTCCAGTAACTCCTCCGGCAGGTCATCGTCGTCCACCGGGGTCTCGTACACCTCGAGATCCTCCTCTTGATCGTTCTCGGCGATGTGAGCCCCCCATCGTCGAGGTCGTGCTGGTGGACCTCTGGGCGCTAGTGGTGTCATGGGTACTGGCCTCCGGGCGTTGTGTTTGTCCAGTGCTATGGCGTCCTTCACGTTAAGCAACGTCTGCTTCTGTAAAGGCTTGAGCTCGTATTTATTCTGATTGGCGTTCAGCATTCCAGCTTCTCGATCTGGCAGCAGGCCAAGCCACCACATGAACAATCACGCCAGCGCTTGATCCGGGAACTCGATCTGCATTGTCTTAAGTCTCGAGACCTGCGTGTCGAAGCGGTTGATGAAAGCCCTGATATCTTCGCCGCTGTCGCGGCGCATGCGTGTGAAGAAAGTCTTGAGCTCGGACCCAAGCTCCATCACTTTCTTGTCGTCGAACTTATCAGCTAGGAAGTCGGGCAGCACTTGGACCCCTTCGTCATTTTGAAGCTCCGTCGGGTCGAGGTCTTCTGCATGAATCCATGCGTCGCCCTTCAGTTCTGCGTAGAGCTCCGCGGCCTGCCTCTCAAGGGGCAGTCTGGTCCTTATCTGAAATATCGCCACTCGCCTCCTGTAATCCTTCATCGTCATCGTCTGTGGGTCGAAGGCGGGAGCTGGAACGTGTGGTCCTCCCTGCTGCTGGGTACGTCCTTCCTCACCTTCGGCTGCTTCCTCGGACGGGTCCACCTTGGGCTCCCGCCTCGTACATGTTAATGTGTGGCGGTCGGTCCGCCGAACTCGATGCCGCGAGCTGCTTCTCTCGATGCTGCGAGCTGCTTCTCTTCGATGCTGCGAAGGCGTGTCCGTGGGTCGAACAGCTCCTGCTACCAATGTGAAGATGCAATGTCTGAGATAGGCGCTGATATTTTCCGTATGTCGCTTGAGACTCAAGGGCCCGGGGAGCCGCAATGCTTACGGATAAGAAACAAGTGAGACGAGGGGCAAACGCTGGGCTATCCAGCACTCTCGCTTTCACACCCTCCTCCTCCCCCTCCTCCTCCCCCTCCTCACACCCCCATCCCCCCTCCCCCATTTTCCTCCTCCTCCTCCTCCTGCTCCTCCACCTCCTCCTCCTCCCCCTCCTCCTCCCACTATTCCTCCTCATCTTTTTCCTCCTCCTCCTCCTCCTCCTCCTCCTCCTCCTCCTCCTACCCCTCCTCCTCCCCCTCCTCCTCCTCCTCCTCCTCCTCCTCCTCCTCCTCCTCCTCCTCCTCTCCTCCTCCTCCTCCTCCTCCTCCTCCTCCTCCTCCTCCTCCTCCTCCTCCTCCTCCTCCTCCCCTCCTCCTCTTCCCATTGTTCCTCCTCCTCCTCATCATCATCATCATCCTCCTCCTCCCAAGTATCCTCCCCCTCCTGCCCCTCCTCCCCCTCCTCCTCCTCCTCCTCCTCCTCCACCTCGTGTTCCCCCTTCTTCCTTTTCCTGCCGCATCCTCCTCCTCTTCGTCCCCCGCCGTCCTTCAGGCTGGCGTTGCTAGTTGCCCCGCCCGGAGTGCTCGGCATACTGACCTTGCGCCGCCGCACCTGGCAGGCGGAACGCTGTCGCTCCAGGCGGCAAGTCTTCACCCCGCGCCTGCGCGCAATCAAATTCACAACGCCAAATCCTCTCTAAATCTCCGACTTACCTTTCCTCTTACATCACTCAAGCATCCTCCCTCCCAGCCCGTCCCCATTCCTCCCTCGACATGCAACACACACACGTTATAGGTCTACGGCGCAGAGGACCCTCAGGCGCGAGCAGCAGATGGTAGAGGTAATTGCGATCGAGCCATGTCGAAGACACAGTGGACAAAACATTGACGCTGTCAATGCAGCGATTGGTGGTGTGAAGGAGGAGCTGTAAACCCAAACGCAACGTGCAGCGGACGCAAGCACACACCTTAAGTCGGCGGCGCATTGGAACCTCAAGCGCGGTCGGCAGGTGGAGGTGCCGATTGCGAACGACATGAGTCAAACGCACCATGATGAAGGGGTCCAGTCACGGACATGCTGATTGGTAGTGGAAAAAGGAGAGGCGCTGTAAAGCCCAAAGTGCCGCGGCTAAAGAACCCGCGGGGCGAAAGCTCGAAGCAAGGAACTTGAATCGCAAACAGCAGTCTGGTGCGAATTAAAGCCTCAAGAGCAACGAAAAGGACTGCAAGGCTGACAGACCAGCCACTTGGGTGGCAGTGCGCACCCGCAGGGAAACTGCGCGACAAAGCAGCGCCAACGACCTTGCAGCGGGCAAGGGCTACATTTGGCGACCGTCCAACAGAGCGCACGAGGTCGGCGTGACAGCGGTAATCACACGGCCGAGCTGGCTTCGCCCTCTGGACAACAAAAACTGAGCTGAAGGCGACCGACCGCGAGCAGAAACCGCAAAATGCGGCGGTGGCCATTGGTGGTGGACAGGCGCGACCAACCCAACCTGCAATGCAGACGCCAGCGTTAAAACAGCAACCCCAACGCAGCCAAAGCCGCGAAGAGCTACCATGAAGGCATGCGAAGGCACAACCAACAAATGGGGCAACCACCATGGCAGAAAAGAGGCTGTACGCATCACCTCAAAGGTCGCACCACTCCGACTAAAAGCAACAACATCAAAATAAGGACGAGCAAAGCGAACCCGCCAACGGGAAACGCCAGCGCTTAGACAGAGACAGACCCCCGCGGTGGGGACGACCAGGAAGGAGGAAAAGGGAGAAGGGGGAAAGCAGCAAAAGCAAAAGCAGCGGGAAAAAAGCAAGAGAAGAGCCCAGAGAGGCGAAGGCGGGAAACCCCACGATACGGCCGACCCGCGACAGACCGACGACAGCGAGGCGAGCGACCCCAGAGACCCAAAGGAAGGAGGGGACCGACGAACTACCGCGGAGAACGCTGCCGGCAATCAAGCTGACATACAGTTCTTTGCCAGCAGGAGCAGCGAACTGCAGCCCCAGGTGCGGACGCGCACCCCAGGTGTGATGCAGAAGCAAAAATAGATTGGTCGCGGCCATGCCAGCATGCACCCCATGCCAAGGCGCAAGAAGCAAGGCGGTAAGGCCGCCGCTGGACAAGCTGCCAGACAGAAAAAGGCACTGACCACGAGCGGTGCCCGTGGCAATTGCCACGCGCACCCCTGAGGGCGCAAGAAAACCAGTGTCCTGGCCAGCACGTGAGGTGAATGGCACCGCCCAGCCGAGCCCACGAGAAACAACGGGGAAAACAAACAGCAAGGCGACCAAAAAGCCCTCCCGCCTAAGGCGGTAAGGAGGTAAAGAAGTGGCCAAAGAAGGGCAGGAAGGCGCAGCGAGAGGCTGAAGCGAGCTACCACAGGACGAAGCCTGGGGAGCACGTCAAAAAGAGAAGCGACACAAATATACACACACACACTAACATTCATAGTCCCTCACTGCTTCCATTGCTCCTCATTGTCATGTTTTCCCTCCTCCTCCTCCTCCTCATGCTCCTCCTCCTCCTCCTCCTCCTATTCCTTTTCCTCCTCCTCCTCCTCCTCCTCCTCCTCCTCTTCGTCCTCAGCCTGCTGAAATCAAGGGGAGGAGGGAAGAGGGGTGAAGGCGGAGCGGGGAGCAGGGAAGGGGAAGTAGGGAGCACAGGCAAGGAGGACGAGTATCGCGCACTACTGGGGAGCTTACCGAGCGTAATCCCAATCGATGCAGCTTGGAGCAAAACCAACCCGCTGACCACATTCTGCCAGATCTGGAATGGGCGCCGTGCCCGAATGTAAAGTGCGAGCAGCAGACGAAGGGCCACGGCCAGGATCGCGTGCTGGGCCGGCTCACGGGGACGCACAGCACGCGATCCTGGCTCGGCACAGCAGGTGGCCGAGCTGGGAGCACCAACACCTGGCGCCCAGGGATCGCGTTCCTGGGGGGGGGGAGGAGGAAGAAGAGGAGGAGGAGGACATCCCTTCATCTGCCTCGACATCCCTCCCCTCCCAAACCTCCGGCATCGTGATGTTTTCACAACGTGGACACCCGGAGATCTAGACCACTTCCCCGGGACCGGAATTTCATCCTGAGTCGTTCTTTGGCTATCCTGGGGCCCCGTAAGTGGCCCTTGAGTCCGAAATGGCAAAAACAAAACAAAACGTCCATCGTGGCTTGTTCCAAGACGCAAGGAGTTCTGGGCTCCCCTCCCCAACCGCCCTCCTCCCTCACCCGCTGGCGGAGCAGCAGCCTTCTGGCCTCCTTCGCAGGTCTTGTCGCACTCGCTCCAGGCAGACCAGTCCGTGAGCTGCGTGTCCTGTGGGCCCGTGGTTTTCTTTTTCCTCGCGGAGACGAGGAGGGAGGAGGCAGGAATGGAGACATTCTGGGCTACGGTGGAGCTCCTTCGCTGTTTGCGCTTCTTCGCTGCCGCCATCCCTTTTTGCTACTGGACTGCATTTGTTTCCGCCTTCCGTCGCTGCACAATATGTCGCTTCTGGCGTAGCTGTGTGGGACGCCTGTGGGGAAACTCTGGACGGCGGGCACCGACGCAGCACGCATGTAAGAAGGTGGCGCACATCCGCACACGCGCCAACGCCGTGCCTGCCGCGTGCTCTGCGCTCCCTGTTTTCACGAGAAGGCCACAATAGCCGATACCCAGGCGTGCGACGGCGCACGTGCCCTCGGTGCGCCAGGGCATGCGCAATTGCATGACCCGTTCCGACCTCGCAGTGGTGTCGCACTCGGGGGCGGTTGTGATTGGGCCGGGAGGGGGAGGACGCGGGCGACTAGGAGAGTGCGCAGAGGGGGGGAAGAGGGATGGGGAGAAAGAGTATGTGGTGCTCCGCTTGCCGAACCATCCCCGCTGGCACGAAGACCACTCCAGCGCAGCACAGAGCAGACGAACGGAGGGGAGGAAAGGAGAGGAGTGCGCCAGCCAGCTCAGCTGCTGGCGCGGGCGCCGGCACGCTCCGGGCCCGCGGGGAGCGCCCCCGACCCCCTACCCCCACACGGCACGTACGAGAATACTCTTCTCAGCAACTCCTTCGTGCGGGCCCGCGGTGCACGAATTGGAGGGGGCCCAAAAATATACACCACCACCACCTCCCTCCCCCCCTCCCTCTCGCTGGAAAGAGGAGAGAGGAGGAATCGGCGTGGTGGTGGTGTATATTCTTTGGGCCCCCAAATTGGAGGGAGGCGGAAGCAGGTAAGACAAGCACAGATTGCCACACCTGCACAGGGGTGGGAAATTGAGACTGGCTGCACGCGACGATGACACCAGGCAAGAGCGACACGTCGTGGTGCGGCGACGGGCCACCAGCACGGGGAGCCGGAAAAAAGGCGGCGCGGGGTCCCAAGGGGCGCGGGCGCCCACGAGCGCACGCGTTCGTGCCAGAGCAAACGTACGAGCGGAACCCGCGTCCTCCTCTCTTCCTCCTCCTCCTCCTCCTCCTCCCCCTCCTCCACGTCTTTGTCTTATGTTCAGTAGTATTCGTATTAGTGTTGGTATTGTTATACGTAGTGTTAGTACTATTATTACTGTTATGCGTGTATTATTATTGTGAGTAGTATTGCGATCATCACTAGTATGCTTATTCATAGTATTTATAAGTGTGAAACTTTCGTCGTATTAATTTATGCTTATTAATCGTAATATTATTAATACTGGCAGTATGATTAGTATGATTATTATTCGGATTGATATCATTGTGATTGGTACCATTATTATTGATTTTACTATTGGTATTGCTAGTATTCGTAAGATTCGCATTATTCTTCTAAATATTACGAATAGTAGTACGATTACTCTTCTTATGATTGTTATGTTAATCATGATTATTCCTCCTCCATCTCTTCCTCCTCCTCCTCCTCCTCTTCATGATCCTCTTCCTTCTCCTCCTCTTCCTCCTCCTCCACCGTAGCCGTGTTGGCTCAAGGCCCAATGTTCGGGAGGCTTTCCGCCTCCGCGCATTCAGGGCATACCCTTGCCAGGGCGGGCAAGGCTATTCAGCCTGGCAGTGTATTTGCGCGGCCTTCACCGAGGCATTTGGCCCCACATCAAGTTTGAGTCGATCCTGGGTGGACGTGCTCCGCGCCGCCGCCTTGCGCTCAGCATCACGGCATGCCTCGCTCTTGCCCGTACACGGTGTGCGGCCAGTGTGGTGGATGGGTGCACGGCTGGAAGCTACAGAGGTCAGGCGGCTGGTGCGACAAGTGCGACGATTTCACTTCGGCACCGCAGTGGCAGGGCCCACAATCCCAGGAGACTCGTGCAGCCGGGCCCCCGTGGTGGACTACGAGATCCTCAGTACCGACGCCTGAGCAAGAGCTGGAGGCACTCATCAAAAAGTTCAAGACCAAGAAGGGCAGCTTCAAGCTGGACGTCGATTTGCAGGGCCTCCGCGACTTCAAAACGCAGGTGGGGAGTGCGATCCCGCAGAAGCCCAAGAGGACGACGCCCCAGAGCTCGGCGCTCAAGCAGGCGGTCAACGAGAAGGAGCAGGCGCAGAAGGACCCGGATGCGGCGACTACGGCGCTGCTGGCGGCCCAGAAGAAAATGGATGACGCGAAGCAGGACTGCACAAAAAAAACAAAAAAAACAGGATTGCAAAAAAAACAGGATTGCAAAAAAAAAAAAAACTGGGTTTTTGTTTGTGCAATCCTTCGCAGGACGCCGCCGCCCAGCAGATGGAGGAGGCAGAGGCGGCCCACCTCCGAATACTGTACGGATACCACGCGACGACCAAGACGAAGCCCGCTCCGCAGGCAGGCCCCCTGCTGAAGGCTGGCAAGCTCCAGAGGTGGGTGCGGCTCTGTTCGAGGACATCGAGGAATACCAGCCTGAGGACAGGCAGAAGTTGCTCAAGGCCAAAGAGGACACGCAGGCTTTGGCGGTGCTGGTCAGTAACGCGCACACACAGTACAAACAGTTCGACGAGCTCGCGAAGCGCAGGAAGGTGGGCGCGGAGGACTCGGCGGTTGCGGTACCTGGTGGTTCGGTTGAGGCGGCTGCTCAGGAGGAGCAGAGGGTGGTCGCCCAGCAGGAGGAGGAGCCGCAAGAAAAGGAGGCAGCCGCCGCAACTACCCGTCGCAAGGCCACCCTGCAGAAGCTGAAGGACGAGTCCAAAGCCCGTCTGCGGGCCAAGGGCCCAGCAGGTTCCTCAGCGAGGCTCGCAACCACCAAGAAGGACAAGGACGGCGACGACGCCATGGGCGATGGCGGCGTGGATAATTCTCATATTTAACATCACGTTCGCCGACATCACCACCTGGGGCCAAGTGGCCCGAAAGTACCTCAACGAGCCTGGCAACAACACAGGCATCTTCAGGATGTGCGAGGCGCACGTGGCGGAGAAGGATAATCCGAAGGAGAATGGTATGTTAGCTGGGGATGGATTGAGGTTGCTGGCGACGGCAATAACCCATACGAAGCGCTCGGAGCACGGCACCTCGTGGGGCGAGTTCATCGCTATTCGGTAGCATGTGGCGGCTACGGGTTCCGACGAAATTAGGACACGCATCAAGCAGGAGAGCATGAAGGACCCGTTTCAGGGCGTTTCAGCGGTGAACGTGCACACGCGCAATGGCAGCCTGGTACTCATTTCGGCGCACCTCCTGCCAAAACACGGCCTGGGCGGCGCCGACTTTGACAGGGTGAAGTCCTTGACCGCTGTCGCCCAGTCGATCACGGATCCATGGGCGACATTGGCGGACTGGAACATCCCCGACGCAAAGATGGAGAGCATCAATGTCACGCAGAAGATTGGCGGCGGGCTCCTGCGGCCTGATGTGGAGGTCACCTGCGACAAGGGCAAGAGCAGCTTGATAGACTATGGCGTAGCACGGCGCGATCTACTTCCTCGACTTCGACTGGAAGCGACACCGAGGGCGCCGTGGAGGACACATTGCGGGCCGCGGCTTCGCGCGGCAGGTGCAATGAGGCCATGGCGGCATCGAGCGGCGGCGTCACCTAGACAGCCCCCCATCCCGATGAGGTCCAAGGCCCAGGGCGCAGCCCGACGCGACGAGCAAGCGCACCCTGAAGAGGCAGGAGGCAGCCGGGAGGAAGAAGGAGAGCTTGGAGTCGCATCTGCATGACATGTTCGACGAGGAGCCCACAGAGCAGGAGACTTTCTATGTTATCCCGTTGGTCATGTGGCAGCAGGTTCTCAGGGACGGCACCCCGCACTTTAGCTCGACGGAGGAAATGAAGGCGAACGGCGACTACCTCTACCACGCCAGGGAGGACCACAAGGTGCAGGAGGGCGCAGTGACGACCATGTACGGCAATTGGGTCTCGGCGGTGGGGTCAGCCTCGCTAGCCACGTCCAAGTTAGACGAGCACCAGCACCACCTCTACCAAGGCCGCGCTGCGCGCCTTGGCGCGAAGACGACGAGATCGAGACCTACGCCTGGCAGAAAGCACTTGCGCTATGCAGCGGCAGAGAACTGAGGCGCCTGCAAGACGGTGTTAGGCAAGTAACCAGGTATCTGACCCTGAGGACGGCGAACAAGGACGGAAAAAGCAGCAGCCCTGCAAGAAGGAACTCAAGGTGGAGGTGCACCACTTAAGAGACATGGGCTGGGACGAAGTCTTTGGCAAGAATATCACGAAGTCGGAGAGGGGGGATTACTACATGCAGCTGGACACGGCTGAGAACAGCACGGTGGACAAGCTCAAGGACCTCTTCAACACGACAGAGCGCCAAGACACCTTCGCCCAAGCGCGTGGCCTCACCGCACAACGCCAGCAGTTTACGCGATGGGCGAAGCAGATGTGGTCATCGAAACCAGGCGCACTGCACAGGCATGTAAAGGACAAGGCGGAGACGCGATTCGAGCTGACGATCAACTTAGAGAGGCAGGCGGCGGACCCCGACACAGTCATGGAGCACGAGGCGCAGCTTTGGAAAGGCATCTGAAGGACCCCGTCGACACCACGGACCAGTCGATGGCGGACCTGGCACAGTTATGGAAGGAGGCGCAGGAGGAGGACTTGTCTGAGTTGACGGTGGATCAGATTGACATGATCCTCAATTCCGCGAGCGACGCGAAGGCGATGGGGTTCGACGGCATTGGCCCTGGGGCGGCTCGCAGATTGCCAGTTCGAGCCAGAGAATGGCTTACAGAGATTATCAGATACTGCGAGGAGCAATGTCCTTGGCCGAGACAATGTCCAGTTACACGTTGCGCGATGGCGGGCAAGCCCGAAGGGGGAGACCGCGCTCTGGGAATGACACCTCTGATGCCCAAGGTTTGGAGCAAGGCACGCGCGACTCTGAGTGAATCCTGGTCAGACGGCCTCGCGGACCACTGGGGCACCGCCATCAAAGGTTCTTCGGCGTTGCGGGCTGGATTTCTACGTGCGTGCCTTGATGAATCTGGAGTGAAGCTGGTCGTGACTTCCCTGATCTCGCTGCTGAACATCGAGAAGTTGTTTATACGGTTTCGTTGCTCACATTCATGCGCATTGCTCGTCGCGCGGGCTGCCCAGCAGCGATGATTTCACTGGAAGTACAACTATTTCTGGCGCCGAGGCATTTGCAGGAGAGGTCGGCGCTGAGCAGGCGGATCTCGCCCACGCGGTCGATTGTTGCGGGATCACCGAGAGGAGTCGGACTCGCCAAACTATTCCTGCACCCCATTTGGGACTTGGTTCACAGGCGTTCTCCTGGCGCGCGCCTCTTGACTCTTGTGGGCGACGCGACGGCGAGGCGTGAAGCTTGTCGCGCTCCGGTGGGAGAGTAAATGCTGGACTTAGTCTTCGACCTCAAGAGAGGTCCAGAGGACCAACGCATGGTCATCTCGCCCAAGACAGTGCTGATTGGCTCGAACCCTGCAGTCACGGCGCGAGTTGCACGACGTCTTCCGTCTGGAAGTATACCTGCGACGGCGTCGGCCAAAGCTGTTGATCTGGGATTGGACACGGCAGCCGGCAGGAGAACGACGGCAAAGCAAGCACGGCGAATGATGAGAGCGATGATCAGAACTGGTAAGATACGACGTCCACGACGAGTGGGTGCTCTGAAGAAGATAGCGCGCGGTCTCTGGGGTGCTGGCGCAGTTCCGCAGGCACCTGGGCGGCTGCTGCCAAGCACGGAGCTGGACAAGGGCTCGAGGCTGGCGGCGACTTATACCAGGTCACGCGAGAACAACGGCGGCTGGAGAGTTCTGGACAAGTGGAGCTCGCAGCTACCGATGTCACTGTGGTCAGCGGCGGCCAGTGGGCACGACAGACAGTGGGCACGACATAAATTTGTCGACGAGGGCTACCTGGCTGACCCTGTCTACGTACGCTGCGGGAAGGAGCCCGAAACGGTGATGCATCGCATTTGGACATGTGAGCAGAAGTGTCAGCATGGGGATTGCTCGTTGTAGCAAGCGTTGCTTCCTTTGGCTGCTGCGAGATGTGTCATTGAGCCGAGTCTGTGGCTTCGGGGCCCCCCTCCACGTGCCCTCAGCCACCCTGAGTACGACGACGAGGTGATTCGAGGACTCGGGGGGAAGGGGGGCCGAGGACTCTTCGCGGTGCCATTTTCGAGGGCACGCGCATGTTTTCGGCGACGGCTCAGGGGGGAGTAATAGCGACGACCCCCGCCGACGACGAAGTGGACCTGCGATCGCCTCCTTAGTGCACAGGGTGGTGAGTTGTCCCTCGGAGCTGCTGTCTGCAAACCGCTCCCAGGGGATAAACCGACGGTCCCCAGAGCGGAAAGTCTGGTTCTTTTCAATTGCGCTTCAAGAGGTTCAAGGCCCGTTTGTGTTCGTCACGGGTCACCTGGCCATCCTGAAAGCCTGGCGGTCCCAGTTTGGAGGACCGCGGACCCTGGGCCCAAACGCGGACCTTTGGACCCTCCGCGCGTGAAGTGTGGAATGAAAGACCAGACCGCTCCCTGATTGATGTAATATGGACACCTTGCCACACCGATGAGTCGCCAGAGCAGCTCACCAGCGAATGTGAACGTTTCCTCGCCTGCGGAAATATGGCGGCGAATTTGCGGGCGGGGGCGGGGGCGGAGCTGGGGGGGAGGGCTATTACAGGCCGCATGAATGATACGGATCAGGAAGATTGCACGGCCGCGCTGGTGGGAAAGCGTGCGAGGCGCGCGATGATCAACTCAGTAGCAGCATCAGCAGCGTTGTCTCCCTCTTCCCGCCCAGAGCGCGTGGCTAGACTCCGCAAGCGTGAGAGGATGTTTCGAGCGTCGGCCCACAAGATTGAGCGTCGTGGTGTGAGGTGGCGGTGTACTGCGTGCGAAGTCATTGTGGCCGACGCTCAGCTGGGTGAGTTTTGCGGGACAGAATGCAGCGCCCCCGCGCTGCCACTGACTTCCAGCTGCCCTTATGCTCCCGATGCCGCGAGGAGAGCCGCTGCTGAGTTTCATGGGTCCCACATGCTCGTTCACTTCCCAGCCTGGTGCATGACGATGTGCACGAGATGTGGGCATCACTGTACGATCGATCCCCGCTACCTGAAAGGGTGATGTTGCGGGGAAACCCCGAAGGGAGTAGAAAATCTCGCGAGGGCGGGTCGCGGCCATTCCCTGGAAGGGAAGGGCCGCCTCGGCCAATCCTGCTGGTGATTGCGGAGCGGGACAGCTTGGGAGCCGTCGTCGCCCAGTCGTCGTTGGAAGGACGGTCCCGCCCGCAGGCCTCTGCCCCCCCTGCCCCCACCTCCCACGCGCGGAAGGACTGACGGCAATGTCTCCACACAGCACCCGCGCCCGCCATCAAGCGGCAGAGACCCCGCGGGGTCTGTCGGGGGAAGGAAGTGGACGAGGTTGGGTCGCGTTGCCCCCCTCGTTTTGTGTTTGCGTTCGCTCGGGCCTGTGAAAGGCCTGGACAATGGTCCGTAAACCAAGAACTCCAGTAACTCCTCCTCCTCCGCCTCCCTCCTCCTCCTCCTCCTCCGCCTCCTCCTCCTCAGCATCAGCATCATCATCATCATCATCATCAGCATCATCATCATCATCATCATCATCATCATCATCATCATCATCATCATCATCATCATCATCATCATCATCATCATCATCATCATCATCATCATCATCATCATCATCATCATCATCATCATCAGCATCATCATCATCATCATCATCATCATCATCATCATCATCATCATCATCATCATCATCATCAGCATCATCAACATCATCAACATCATCATCATCATCATCATCAGCATCATCATCATCATCATCATCATCATCATCATCATCATCATCATCATCATCATCATCAGCATAGCATCAGCATCATCATCATCATCAGCATCATCAGCATCATCATCATCATCATCATCATCATCATCATCATCATCACCATCACCATCATCATCATCAGCAGCAGCATCAGCATCAGCATCAGCATCAGCATCAGAATCATCAGCATCATCATCATCATCATCAGCATCATCATCATCATCATCATCATCATCATCATCATCATCATCATCATCATCAGCAACATCAGCATCAGCATCAGCATCATCATGATCATCATCGTCATCATCGCCATCATCATCATCATCAGCATCATCAGCATCAGCATCATCATGATCCATAATCGTCAACATCATCGCCATCATCGTTATCATCATCAGCATCATCCTCCTCCTCCGCCTCCCTCCTCCTCATCTTCCTCCTCCTCCTCCGCCTCCTCCTCCTCAGCATCATCATCATCATCATCATCATCAGCATCAGCATCAGCATCAGCATCATCGTCAACATCATCGTCATCATCATCATCATCATCATCATCATCATCATCATCATCATCATCATCATCATCATCATCATCATCATCATCATCATACTCCCCCATCCTCAACCCCTCCTCATCCTCGTCAGTATCCTCCTCCTCCTCCTCATCCTCATCCTCCTCCTCCTCGTCCTCCTCATCCTCCTCATCCTCCTCCTCCGCCTCCTCCTCCGCCTCCATCGTTCCTACCCGCGCATTCCTCATTGCTATCCTCAAGCAGTCCTCCTCCGCCTCCTCCTCCTCCCACCTACCCCCCCTCCTCCTCCGCCTCCTCCACCTCCTTCTCCCCCTCCTCCTCGTCCTCCTCCTCTTCCTCCGCCTCATCTTTCTCCTCCTCCTCCTCCTCCTCCTTCTCATCCTCCTCCTCCTCCTTCTACTCCTTCTCCTCCTCCTCCCCCTCCTCTCCTCCGCCTCTCTTCCTCCTCCCTCCTCCTCCTCCTCATCCTCCTCCTTTTCCTCGTCTCCTCCTCCTCCTCCTCCTCTCCTCCTCCTCCTCCTCATATTCCTCCTCCTCCTCCTCCTCATCATCATCCTCCTCCTCCTCATCCCTCTCATCCTCCTCATCCTCCTCCTCAGCATCCTCATACTCCTCCTCCTCCTCGTCCTCCTCCTCCTCATCCTCATCCTGCTGCTCCGTCTCCTCCCCCTTCATCACCATATCATCATCCTGCACCTCCTCATCCGCCTCGTCCTCCTCCTCATCCTCCTCCGTATCATCCTTCTCATCCGCCTCCTCGTCCTCCTCCTCTTCATCAGCATCATCATCAGCAGCATCATCATCAGCAGCAGCAGCATCGTCATCATCATCAACGCAATCACCACCATCATCATCATCATCATCATCATCATCATCATCATCATCAGCAGCATCACCATCATCATCATCATCATCATCATCAGCATCATCATCATCATCATCATCATCATCATCATCATCATCATCATCATCATCGTCATCATCAACAGCAACAGCAGCAACATCATCCTGATCAGCATCATCATCAGCATCATCAGCATCATCATCATCAGCATTATCATCATCATCCGAATCATCATCAGCAGCATCATCATCAGCAGAAGCCCAGAAGCACAATCATCATTATCATCAGCATAAGCATCGTTGTCAGCATCATTAGCAGCATATCCATCATCATCATCATCAGCATCAGCATCAGCAGCATCATCATCACCATCATTATCATCATCATCAGCATCATCATCATCATCGTCGGCATCATCATCATCATGTTCATCATCAGCATCATCATCAGCATCAGCCTCATCATCATCGTCGTCATCGGCATCATCAGCATCATCAGCATC